CATGCTGGAAAAGAGTTATATGGATACCCTGAACTGCCATAGCTATCTATCTATCTATCTATCTATCTATCTATCTATCTATCTATCTATCTATCTATCTATCCATCATATGTTGGACATATTAAAAAATAAAACAGTACTTGTAAAGTAGATTTTTTGGAAAATGAATCTCCATAACCTTTTGGCAAAATTATGCCATAACCTTTTTGGATAAACCACTGGACAAAGAAAGGTATGACCTTGTTGGAAGTCACAGCCTTTTGAAAAGTAATGTTCACTAGTATTCATGCAAGGTAACTAAGTCTCGCATCTGTATCTAGGTATGTCTTTGAACTGTCAGGGATGAAGACATGCCAATGCACAAAAACATATATTTAGCAGAGTTTCTGAGGTGTTTCTTTGAAGTTGACCCAAAACATCTACTCACCCTTAAAATACATCTACTCACCCTGAACATCTCTAGACCTGATCACATGGTCTATAGCCCCACGCACAACTAATAGGTTAGGTAAAATTGTAAACCAATACACACATAGAACCCTTACACATGTGGATGGCTGACTGTACTTTGGAAAGGGTCCTTACTTACTGGAACTGATAGTGGCACAACTTCATAATGTGAAATGTGAGTTGCACAGAGCTGCCATTTCATAAAAAACTATCGAATATTTCTTCTAAATGAAACCAAAAACAAAGCAGACTCCTCTCACCACACAGCAAAGCAGGAACTAAACTATACTGAGCTTCAGTGGAGCTGTTGACCTATTTATGTCTCTCTCCTCCTACAGATGTTTCTATAATTGTCCTTAAGAGCACCTTCATTTCCTGGGAGCATAGCACCTGATGAATATCTGCACACCACAGATTTGCAAGGGGAAAAGTGTGAATCAAGATCAGTGTGAGTGTGTTTGTATTTGGGTTGCCAACTTAATATATGTGTGTGCGTGCGCGTATGTTCCTTGCCTTTAACAGTACAGTAGCTTGACTCTTATCACAGCTTTGCCTAGGATTATATTTGGCTGATAATATTTCGCTGGAATCAGACGATTTGCACAAAGCACTTCTTTCTTTTTTCACCCAAACCTCAGCACTACTATTCTTGCTAAAAGAGTGAATTCTCAGAGGTACACTAGGGTTGCCATCCCTTCCATAAATGGCTCGCTTGGCCTCCTTTCCGTTGGCCCCCTTTATGGTGATCCTATCATTGGATTTTCTTGGCAAGTTTGGTCAGAAGGGATTTACCCTTGCCGTTCTCTGAGTCTGAAAGAGTGTGATCTGCTGTAAATTTCCATGGCTGAAAGGAGATTTAAACCTTGGTCTATAGCAGCATTTCTCAACCTGGGGGTTGAGACCCCCTGGGGGGAGTCATGAGGGGGTGTCAGAGGGGTCACCAAAGACATCAGAAAACACAGTATTTTCTGTTGGTCATGGGGTTCTGTGGGAAGTTTGGCCCAATTCTATCATTGATGGGATTCAGAATGCTCTTTGATTGTAGGTGAACTATAAATCCCTGCAACTACAACTCCCAAAGGACAAAATCAATTTTTTTTTAGTGTTCACATTTGGGCATATTGAGTATTCGTGCCAAGATTGGTCCAGATCCATCATTGTTTGAGTCCACAGTGCTCTCTGGATGTAGGTGAACTACAACTCCCAAACTCAAGGTCAATGCCCACCAAACCCTTCCAGTATTTTCTGTTGGTCATGGGAGTTCTGTGTGCCAAGTTTGGTTCAATTCCATCATTGATGGAGTTCAGAATGCTCTTTGATTGTAGGTTAACTATAAATCCCAGCAACTAAAACTCCCAAATGACAAAATCAATCTCTCCTCCCCCCTCCCTACCTTACCAGCACTCAAATTTGGGCGCATCAGGTATTTGTGCTAAATTTCATCTAGTGATAGAAAATACAGCGGAGCGCAGGGAGCATACAACTCCTCTGCTGTACCAGCTCCACTGGCTGCCGATCTGCTACCGGGCCCAATTCAAGGTGCTGGCGTTGGCCTTTAAAGCCCTAAACGGTTCTGGCCCAACTTACCTATCTGAACGTATCTCGGCCTATCAGCCCACCAGGACCCTAAGATCTTCTGGGGAGGCTCTGCTCTCCATCCCGCCTGCTTCACAGGTGCGGCTTGCGGGAACGAGAGACAGGGCCTTTTCTGTGGTGGCCCCTCGGCTTTGGAACGCCCTCCCCATAGAGGTAAGATCAGCCCCCTCGCTGATGGTGTTTCGGAAAAGATTGAAGACATGGATGTTCAAACAAGCATTCGGTTAATCCGGTGCAAAGAAATTGATGATTAAGGACTGGTAATCATGGACGATGAAATTGGACTACGATTCTAGTTAAGAGATGCATTGGATTGTATTGGTGGCCCAATACTATGTATTGTATGTTGTTTTTATGCTTTTTAAACTGAATATTGTTGATTGTTTGTAGAGTTGTAAACCGCGTTGAGTCGCCAATTTTGGCTGAGAAACGGCAGTATACAAGCGCAGTAATAAATAAATAAATAAATAAATAAGAAGATTAGGTATCATAGCAATGAAGATGAAAATAGGTTTGGGGCAATAGCACATCCCTGTTTGACACCTGATTCCACCTTATATGAGCCACTTTGGGAGCCATTGCTGTCCAAGACTGTTGTCATCATGTCATTGTGGAGGAGCCACAGGATGTTGAGAAATTTGTCAGAGCACCCGATTTTTTGGAGGATGGTCCAGAGAGCACTGCGATTCACTAGGTTATCTGAGTCCACACTGCCATACCATCCATTTCAATCATATTACAAAACAAATTGACATTAAATGAACAACAAGATTACAAATATACATTAAAATTAAAATGTTAAAAAATTAAAAACAGAGCCAAGCCCAATCACAAATCACAAATCCAAATCAGAGTCCAGAGTTCCAGTCCGAGGTCTATCCATGGTTAGTTCCCATAAGTCAATTGAAGTTACTGCTTGGTCAACTGCCCGAATTGGTCCCAGACTTGATATAACCTTTTTTTCTAAAGGAGAGGGAGGGAGCTGCCCTGATTTCACTGGGGAGTGTGTTCCATAGGTGGGGAGCCACCACCAAGAAGGCCCTGTCCCTCATCCCCACCAGTTGTGCTTGCGAGGGTGGTGGGATCGAGAGTAGGACCTCCCCGGATGATCGTGAACTCCGAGTTGGATCGTAGAGGGAGATATGTTCAGACAAGTAAGGTAGGCCAAGGTAATGTACCCAGCATGATTGCATGGAGTGCCGTTACGTTCCTGCAGAAGTGGCACCTATTGATCTACTCACATTTTTTTCGAACTGCTAGGTTGGCAGAAGCTGGGCCTAACAGCAGGAGCTCATCCCGCTCCCCAGATCTGAACCACCAACTTTTCGGTCAGCAAGTTCAACAGTTCAGTTTTACCCGCTGCGCTGCTGGGGGCTCCTCAAAGCAGATCACCTGGAATTTATTTGGCAGTGTAGAAGGGGCCTAAGTCTGGATCTACACTGCCCTATAACCCAGGAACTGATCCCAGAATATCTGCTTAGCCTAGATTATCTGGCAGTGTACGCATATAATCCAGTTCTAAGTAGATAATCTGGGATCAGATCCAGGGATATAGGGCAGTGTAGATCCAGCCTTAGAAATAAGTGACTTGGATGACAAGATAAGAAGTTCGTGGAATGTTTTCAACATATGTCTTTAAGGCGGGAGGTTGGAAGTACACGTCAACTTTTTGATTTTCTTATTATATGACTAGGAGATCCCAGTGGTGCAGTGGGTTAAAGCACTGAGCTGCTGAGCTTGTTGACTGAAAGGTCAGAGGTTCGATTCCGGGGAGCGGCGTAAGCTTCTGCTGTCAGCCCTAGCTTCTGCCAACCTAGCAGTTCGAAAACATGCAAATGTGAGTAGATCAATAGGTACCGCTCTGGCGGGAAGGTTCCATCAGTGCTGCCTCTGGAAAATCCTGCAAATATCTTGGGAAGACAGGCGGACAAACGTCAGCGTGCTGGAAGAAGCAAAGACCACCAGCATTGAAGCGATGGTCCTCTGCCATCAACTCCGCTGGACCGGCACGTTGTCCGGATGCCTGACCACCGTCTCCCAAAGCAGTTGCTCTACTCTGAACTTAAGAATGGAAAACGGAATGTTGGTGGACAGGAAAAGAGATTTAAAGATGGCCTCAAAGCCAACCTTAAAATCTCTGGCATAGGCACTGAGAACTGGGAAGCCCTGGCCCTTGAGCGCTCCAGCTGGAGGTCAGCTGTGACCAGCAGTGCTGCAGAATTCGAGGAGGCACGAGTGGAGGGTGAAAGAGAGAAACGTGCCAGGAGGAAGGCGCGTCAAGCCAACCCCGACCGGGACCGCCTTCCACCTGGAAACCAATGCCTTCACTGTGGGAGAAGATGCGGGTCAAGAATAGGGCTCCACAGCCACCTACAAACCCACAAAAATAGTAATCAAGGAAGACCATCTTACTCGTCCAATGAGGGATCGCCTAAGTAAGTAAGTAAGTAAGTAAGGCGGGAAGGTAACGGCGCTCCATGCAGTCATGCTGGCCACATGACTGTGGAGGTGTCTATGGACAACGCTGGCTCTTCGGCTTAGAAATGGAGATGAGCACCACACTCCAGAGTCAGACATGACTGGACTTAATGTCAGGTGACAACCTTTACCTTACCTGTTATATGACTATTGCTGAAAAAGTAACACACACACACAAACAAACATAGCTTAGAAACATGACTTGCTTGAACCACAATTCCTCCGCCTGCAAGGCCACTTTTTGGAGATAGCTTGTGTATGCATTAGCCATCATGAGCAGAACTTAGAAAACTTCCTTCCTTGGAGCGCAACTCCCAGACTCCCCCAGCCTAGCACAGCCTGTTGACATTTCCAATCTTTGGTCATCCATCAGGTCTCAGTGGGCGAGTTCTGGAGAAGAGACACAAAGACTCATCTGATGTGTGCACTGCACCGGCTTCCACCCTGGATTTGGACAAGTCCCAGCAACTCCGCCTCCCCGCCTCCATGGCTCTTGGGCTCTTCACTCATCCCTCAGGTGTTTCCCTTGCTAAACAACCACTTCTCTCTCCTCCCTCCCCAAAGGAGTGGCAGCCCTTCTTGAAGCACACAGAAACCAGGAGAGAATAGAAGACAAGAGAGAAGCAAAAGAGAGAAGGAAAGCCGGGCCAGAGAAACATTTGAGTTGCTGTTGAATCCCACCCTCCTGTGGCTGCTGTGTGGGTTTGTGGCTTTGAGCAGCACAGCTGAGCGAAAACCTTTTCATTGCAGTCTCTTCCTGGATCGGAGAGCTGCTTGAGACAGAAAGAAAGAAAGGGAGAAAGAAAGAAAGAAAGAAGGGGGAGGAGGAAACCGAAGCTCTGTGTGAAACTGAGAACAACGAAGAAGGGTTTGGCTTGGTGTGCTGTGGGGCCAAGCCTACCCCCAGAGGCCTTGGCACAACCTTGGAAGGTTCCCCCTTTTCACGAGCCCCAGAGGAAGCAAGAAAAAAAAGCACCAGTTTGTGCTCCGGCATGAAGTGACATGAAGTGAATCAGCAGCTCAGCTCCGTGGAAAGAGAAGGAAGAGCAGAGACTGGGTCTGGGAGATTAAATACCCAGCAGCATGGCTCTGGGAGAACTGGTTATGGGTTGCCCCATCCCTTGAGGACCTCTGGATTCCTTGCCATCCCAGACCTGGTAGGACGCAGCTGCAGAAGAGTCCTCTTGGCATCCTTCCCTTTGCTCAGCAAAGAAGCACCACAATGTCCAACAGCATGAAGTTCAACGGATACATGAAGGTGCGCATCGGGGAGGCAGTGGGGCTCCAGCCCACCCGCTGGTCACTCCGGCACTCTCTCTTCAAGAAGGGCCACCAGCTGCTGGATCCCTACATCACGGTGAGCGTGGACCAGGTCCGAGTGGGGCAGACCAGCACCAAGCAGAAGACCAGCAAGCCCACCTACAATGAGGAATTCTGTGCTCCGGTGACCGATGGGAAACAGCTGGAGCTGGCGGTCTTCCATGACACCCCCATTGGCTACGACGACTTTGTGGCCAACTGCACGGTGCACTTCCATGAGCTGCTCCACATCACTGGCTCGGCTGATAGCTTTGAAGGATGGGTGAGTAGGGAAGAGAGGTTCCTGGGAGTTGTGGTTTCCTCCAGAAATGGTGTACCTGTGTTGGTGCACAATGTCCTCATCTGCTATTGCAGACTTTGTCAATTACTTCAGTAGCTCAGTTGTTCTCTTAGAGGCATGGGCAAACTTTGGCCCTCTAGGTGTTTTGGTCTTCAACTCCCACAATTCCTAAGAGCCAGTGGAAGTTGAAGTCCAAAACACCTGGAGGACCAAAGTTTGCCCATACCTGTTCTATAAAATACCGATACCTGACATTAGCTATCGTTTATCAGTACTGCTAGAATACTGGACTGAAAGCATTACTTTGCTTGGTATGTCCTTTGGCCAAAGCTTGCATTAGAACTGCTTGGGGGATATTGGATGGCTTGGGGAGTGAATTGGAGGTTTTATTTAAAAGGTAGAAGGAGCTGGGGCAGGTGACAGCCGACAGGGAGCTCTGGCGCGGGCTGGTCCATGAGGTCATGAGGTCATGAAATGACTGAATAAATGAACAACAACAGAATACAAAACCCTGGTGATTGAGAGTCCTTTCACATAACACAATGTTATGATTCCAACTTTTGCTTGCCATGTCCACATTCAGTGAAATCCTTAGGTTTGCAATATATTTATTGAAGTACTAGCCGTCCCCTGCCATGCGTTGCTGTGGCCCAGTCTGTGTATATGTGTTTTGTATGTATATATATTTGTGTATATGTGTATTTATGTGTGTTTGCATATATATGTGTGTGGTTTTGTGCATACGTTGTAATGTATATTTTATGTTTTGGCTTTTTAAGTCTCTTCTGCTGTGTTTTATGAATGTTGGCCTGATAGATGTCTTGTGTCCAAATTTGGTGTCAGTTCATCCAGTGGTTTTTGAGTTATGTTAATCTCACAAACGAACATTACATTGGGTTATTGTAGGTTTTTCCGGGCTATATGGCCATGGTCTAGAGACATTCTCTCCTGACGTTTCGCCTGCATCTATGGCAAGCATCCTCAGAGGTAGTGAGGTCTGTTGGAAACTACCTCTGAGGATGCTTGCCATAGATGCAGGCGAAATGTCAGGAGAGAGTGCCTCTAGACCATGGCCATATAGCCCGAAAAAACCTACAACAAACCAGTGATTCCGACCATGAAAGCCTTCGACAATACATTGAACATTACATTTTTATTGATATAGAATATATGCAAGAGTAATGGTGTCATTTGGACTATGGTTCCTTCTATGCTGCTCTATACCCCAGTTTCTGATCCTAGGTAATCTTATCCCAAATTATATTGCAGTAGGGACTCACATAATCCAATTCAAAGCAGATAATCTGGGATCAGATCCTGGTATATAGTGCAGTGCAGATCCAGCCTATATGACTCTGGAGAGCAGAGTTCAATCCCTGCTCAGTCATGAAAACATTTTGGTTAACCTTAGGCAAATCGCATTCCCTCATCCTCAGAGGAAGGCAAAGGCAAGCCTCTTCTGAACAAATCTTGACAAGAAAATCCTATCCTTAGTCAGAAATGACTTTAACATACACAACAACAATACTTTGCCACCCAGCTAGCCAGAGAAGTCTAGTGCTCTTCCAAATTATGGTAGCCAAGGTTGTTGTGAGTTTTCCAGGCTGTATAGCCATGTTCTAGAAGCATTCTCACCTGACGTTTCACCCACATCTATGGCAGGCACCTCTGAGGATGCCTGCCATAGATGCAGGCGAAACATCAGGAGAGAATGCTCCTCGAAGATAACCAAACAGCCCAGAAAACTCACAACAACCCAGTGATTCCGGCCATGAAAGCCGACAATATGGTAGCCAAGTGGTTTCATGCTGCTATAGTGATGTAGTGCGAAAGAGACACTGGAAAACATATTATCTTAATGGTGACACCTGGGAAAATGCGTAAATGTGTGAATGTTGATGTACTCAATAAATTGTCCGTCTAGTCCAGCATAGACTGCTTGAATGTCATGGCGCTGTCCTTCGGAAAGTTCATTTTGGGAAAGTTCATCATGTAGAATCTTCCACAGCCAATGAGCTGGTTTTACTTTAATCTTAATCCACTTTGTTGGGAGACAACTTGTCTAGTGTAGCCTCCACCATGGTACTCTTCAGATGTCTTCAGCAGCAACTCTCATCATAAGCCCCACGCCACACACAACCTGGCCAATGCTGAGGCATTTTAGTGGCAAAGTTGTTTTATTGATGACAGTTTCATGAATTTTCTAGCTATTTGACTGGGGGATTCTGGGAAGCTGTCATCAAAAAAATAGTTTTCTAATAGTTTTCTTGTAATTGCCAGCGAAATCCCCTGGAAGAACTCATATGCTTAGTAGAAACTTTATGGGCAATTGCACTATATCTTGTGCATTAGATCAGTGTTCCTTAACCTTCCTAATGCTGCAACCCCTTAATACAGTTCCTCATGTTGTGTTGACCCCCAACCATAACATTATCTTCTTTGCTACTTCATCAGAGTAATTTTGCTACTATAATGAATCGTAATGTAAATATCTGATATGCAGGATGGTGTTTTTCATTCACTGGACCAAATTTGGCACAAATACCTGATACGCCCAAATTTCAATACTAGTGGAGTTGAGGGTGGGGGTTGATTTTGTCATTTGGGAGTTGTAGTTGCTGGGATTTATAGTTCACCTACAATCAAAGAGCATTCTGAATTCCACCAACAATGGAATTGAACCAAATTTGGTGCAGAGAACTCCCATGACCAACAGAAAATACTGGAAGGGTTTGGTGGGCATTGACCTTGAGTTTTGGAGTTATAGTTCACCTACATCCAGAGAGCTCTGTGGACTCAAAAATCTAGACCAAACTTGGCACAAATACTCAATGTGGTCAAATATGAACACTGGTGGAGTTTGGGAAACTAGACCTTGACATTTGGGGTTGTAGTTGTTGGGATTTATAGTTCATCTACAATCAAAGAGCATTTTGAACCCCACCAACAATAGAATTGGGCCAAACTTTCCACACAGAATCCCCATGACCAACAGAAAGTAGTGTGTTTTCTTATGGTCTTTGGTGACCCTTCTGACACCCCCTCACAACCTCCCCCAGTGGTCCCAACATTAGATGATATTGCTTCAAAGCACTATCTTAATTATCATGGTTAATAAAAGTTGTTAGACTGATGTTGCCGGCTATGTAGTAGCTATTGTCACACCTTATGGGTGTGGCTTTATTGTCTGTTGTGAAAAGCCTTCCATGTGTCAACCTTAACTCCAATGCGAGCCTTTTAGAGTAGCATCTCTCCTATGACACCTTCCAGATGTATTGGACTACAAATTCCATCAGTCACAAACTACAGAGCCAGGAATTCTGGGCATTGTAGTTCCAGACATCCAAAGCATCTCAATTTGAGTCAAGCTAGTCTAGTGTTTATATACAGCATTTGGTATTCTACGTTTTTTCAAGGGTTCGTCTACATTATTAAATTAATTCAATTTAACACCACTTTAACTACCATGGCTTAATGCTATGGAATCATGGGAGTTGTAGTTTGATGAGGCAGTAGCACTTTTGTGAAGAGAAAGCTAAAAACCATGCCAAACTCCCATGATACTATAGCACTGAGACACGGCAGTTAAAGTGGTGTCAAACCCCATTAATTCAACAGTATAGATGCCCCCATAGACCTCTGCAGGACTAATGCTTGAAAGAACCAAAGGTAGTGTGTGCACAACCTGCTAGTCCATCAGAATATTTTTTTTCTGACTCAGGTGTCTCTTGAACTAGGAATGTAATGCTCGAGAGATCTATTATGTAGTTGCCATGTTCGTTCTGTGATTTCACTAAAACACTACTGCAATTGTTAAAACTTTTGGGGTTGTTAACCAGACCCTGCTTGAACTTTGGCTGGAATACCATCCCTGTATGGTTGGAAGGTTTATGTATTGCCCAAGTAAAGGATTTGTTAGAGAACAATATTGTAAAATCAGCAGCCATGCATGTCTAATAAGGGAGCGGAGCCTTGCACTTATTGATGTATTGATAAGAAACTCTGAAGGAAGAGGCATGTCTTCATTCCAAGACGTCGGATTGATTTCTTTGATGAGCTGTTGTGGGAAAGAAGCTGGAAACTACCAAGGAGGGATCCTAGTGATTGAAAGCCTGTAGCTTCCAAGCACACCTTGACCAAAGGAAACAGAATTACCACTGACCAGAGATCAATGAGGCCAGTTAATGAAGAGAGAAGGCAGGAGCAGTTTAGCCAGACAGGTGTGAGCCACACTGGGGCCATGGAAATGCCCTTTGCTGCATTATTGTCTGGCTTATGAATGGCTCAATATGCAAGTATTCCTCATCCCTATTTCAAAAGCTCCCTGCAAAACATTTATCCACAACTTTGGCCAAAACGTTGTGTCTTTTTTTCAACTGCTTGACAAACAAAGAGAAAGAAGAAACTGAGGCTAGATCTACACTTCCATATAATCCAGTTTCAGAATGCAAATTAGCTGTATTGAACTGGATTATATCACAGTGTGCACAAGTGGTTCCCAACCTTTTTTTGACCAGGGGCCACTTTGACCAGGGGCTGCTTTGACCAGGGGCCACTTTAACCAGGGACCACTTTGACCAGGGGCAACTTGACCAGGGACCACATGACCAGGGGCCATTTGACCAGGGACCACTTTGACCAGGGACCACATGACTAGGGGCCACTTTGACCAAGGGCCAGTTTGACCAGGGCCCACTTTAACCAGGGACCACATGACCAAGGACCACTTTGACCAGGGACCCCATGACCAGGGGCCACTTTGACCAGGGACCACATGACCAGGGCCCACTTTGACCAGGGTCCACATTGACCAGGGCCCACTTTGAGCAGGGTCCACATTGACCAGGGCCCACTTTGACCAGGGGCCCCATGACCAGGGCCCACTTTGACCAAGGACCCACTTTGTCCAGACCCCACTTTGACCAGCGACTACTCTCCAACATTAGTACCAAAAGGGTTAGGAATCGGTTTTTGGTCAACTT